CACTGTTGCCTCACAGCAAGAAGGTCCTGAGTTCAATTCCACCATCAGGCCGGGGTCTTTCTGTGTGGAGTTTGCATGTTCTCCCCGTGTTTGCATGGGTTCTCCCCGGGTACTCCAGCTTCCCCCCATAGTCCAGAGACATGCATGTGTTTTACAGATAGCTCTAGATAATTACTGTTGTAGCTCAACTTTTTAACATATTAGAAAACACTTTACATCCTGCGGCGGTCTATCCTTCAAGCGTAGTATCTTGGCTGTTCCTAGGAGTGCGCTCTTCTAGACAGAGAACTTGGATGTTGCTCCTGGGATCTGCTGGAGCCACTCGCCTACCTTGGGATTCACTGCGCCGAGCGCTGCGATTACCACTTGGACCACCGTTACCTTCACCCTCCACACCTTCTCCAGCTCTTCTCTGAGCCTTTGGTATTTCTCCAGCTTCTCGTGTTCATTCTTCTTGATTTTGCTGTCACTCGGAACCGCTACATCGATCACTATCACATACATCTTCCTCCGTCTACCACCACTATGTCCGGTTGGTTAGCCATCACCATTTTGTCCGTCTGTATCTGGAAGTCCCACAGAATCTTAACTCAGTTGTTCGACACCTTCCTTGGGGGCGTCTCCCATTTTGACCTCAGGACTTCCAGGCCACACTCGGCACAGATGTTCCTGTACACTATGCCGGCCACTTGGTTATGGCGTTCCATGTATGCCCTGCCTGCTAGCATCTTGCACCCTGCTGTTATGTGCTGGATTGTCTCAGGAGCATCTTTACACAGCCTGCACCTGGGGTCTTACCTGGTGTGATAGACCCCAGCCTCTATGGATCTTGTGCTCAGAGCTTGTTCCTGTGCTGCCATGATTAGTGCTTCCGTGCTGTCTTTCAGTCCAGCCACTGGTAGGATTTCTGGATGTCAGCCACCTCCTCTATCTGCCGGTGGTACATACCATGCAGGGGCCTGTCCTTCCATGGCAGAGAGGCGCCTCCTCTTCCTCGGGTTTGTGCTGCCTGAGGTATTCACTGAGCACGCAGTTACCCGGGGCAGTCTTCCTTATAAACTCGTGGATGTTTGTTGTCTCATCCTGGACAGTGGCTCTGATGCTCACTAGGCCCCGGCCTCCTTCCTTTCACTTAGCATACAGCCTCAGGGTGCTGGATTTTGGGTGAAACTCTCTACGTATGGTCAGGAGGAGATAGAAGAATCAAGACGAGGGTCTTGATGTCAGTGGCTTCTATCTCCTCCTTTAGCCAGCTTATTGTCCCAGCAGGGTACCTGATCACGGACAGGGTGTACGTGTTGATGGCCCGGATCTTGTTCTTACCATTCAGCTGACTCCTCAGGACTTGCCTGACCCTCTGCAGGTACTTGGTGGTTACAGCTTTTCTAGTGACCTCTTCATGGTTGCCATTTGCCTGTGTCATTCCCAGGTAGTTGTAGCTGTCCTCTATGTCTGCAGTGTTGCCTTCTGGTAGTGCAATCCCCTTCCCTCTTTTCGTTACCATCTGTCTACACTTCTCCAATCCGAACGACATTCCGATGTCGCTGCTGTACATCCTGGTGGTGTGGATCAGTGAATTGATGTCTTGTTCACTCTTGGCAAACAGCTTGATGTATGACAACTGCTCCATTCCATAGTTGGTATCCGTAGCCAGTCATATCAATGATCTCACCAAAGGGGTCCATGTCTATGCAGAACAGCAGTGGAGACAGAGCATCTCCTTGGTAGATCCCTCAATTGATGTTTACTTGTGGTGTTGGCCTCTAGTTAGGACTGGGCAACATATTGAGTTTTTAAATACATCGATATATTTTTATACGAGATATGAGATGTGACAATATCGTTTATATCGATATAGTCTATGTTACGTTATAATGCCTCTCTTTCGTCCACTTTTGTCTCTACGCAACATTACTCTGCCTCGCCTCTCTCCTTCACTGAACACAACTCCCCCTCGCCCATCGCTTCACCTGCAGGCAACGACAAGATGGACACGCCAACTATCAAAGAGGAGCTGGTCGGTAAAAACTAAACATTTGGACATTGCTATTTTAGTGCTGGTAGCAGTGATCTCGTTAAAATGATGTTAACGCCATAACTGCATTAACACGGCAAATCTCCGTTAATGAGTTACTGCGGATAACCCCGTGCATGGGGCTGGACGGCGTCAACGGGTTAACGAGCTAACTGGGCTAACGTGTTGACGCCATCTAAAATCCTTTCATTGTCTCAAAACTCGACGGTGCACCTTATGTACAGTGGGGCAAAAAAGTATTTAGTCAGCCACCGATTGTGCAAGTTCCCCCACCTAAAATGATGACAGAGGTCAGTAATTTGCACCAGAGGT